TGATGAAGGTCACGAGTTCACTGTTACCTCTGTGGTGATTCAGAATTTAAATAGGTTTACATTCATTACATGAAGTCGCGTAGGGAATTCAGGATATATTCCACTCCATTGTCTGGATCGACAAGTCTTTTTCATTGTCCAGCAGCTCGTGGTAAATGAGGGCGTCATCTATGAGCCGGTTTTTGTGAAGCTGTTCCGCCGCTATGACGGCTTCCAAGAAATGCCGGAATCTGTTCCATGGAAATCCTCTTCACTTGAAATCCAGCCTTCGGAAAACCTGCTCCGCTCCCAAAGTGGGCCCCGAATAATGAGCCTCTTCGGCCCCGAATATGGATGAAGGGTGTCAAATATGTAATGAGCAGGTAGAAGAGCAAAATATGTAAATAGCAATTTGTGGTTTCCAATCGAAGCAATCAGTGTCAATACCACATGTCACCACAATACAGCAAGAAGGTGAATTCCTTTATCTGTGAGCGTTATGATATCACCAGGCTTGAGCAGCGGAGATCGCACATGATAGGAATCACATCAGCTCGAAAAGCCTGGATATGCGGAATGTGCAGCGTTTGCACATTGCGAAAAGTTTTCCGTAGCGAATCAGAACATCGGGATGTTCTGAAGAAACATGCGCACCCCCAACCTTCTGACTCGCTCCGGTCTCCGGTCCTTGGACTGCAACTTCAAGCTGCACTGCGCCACCCTGTAGGTGCCCAAGCCTCAGAGTCCGGCGTGAGGAAAGCGACAGGAAACATAGGAAAAACCAACTTAGATTTGTCATTCAAAAATAACATGGGTTTATCATAATGCTATATATCTAACATATGCTTAAACTGGCAACCAAAGGCTGATGTGTAGATCGTAAAAACTGGGAGAATGGTGGACTTGCTGGTGCGATAGGTAGGGAATGACATTCCGGGTATCGGGAATGAGCCGTTTGGGGTCGGAAACTGCAACGGATGGCTTCTAGGGGTCGCTGCTGATGTGTAGGACTGTAAAACTAGATTGAGTTGTATACCTGTATGACAAACGCCTGTCAGACATCTTATCCTGACAACTTCAAGCAGCTTTCCTCACAACCCTTGACAACCTGTTGTTAAGCTATGGTGGCTAAACCACTAGCAAAGCTTGTTCCCGTTGACGTTTGAGGCTGGAACCCGGGGCTCTGCCACTCTAAGCACCGGGCCCAAAGCCGAGCCCACCACGCCAAGCCTTGGATCTCGCATCGCGTCCGCGAACGTCAAAGCAAACCCATGGGGTGGGCGTCAAAGAAAACCACCATCTTTGGACCCCCCACCAAAAAAACATGACAAATCGGAAATAATAAAAACACACACACACACACACACATGCGCGCACACACACACGCACGCACGCACGCACGCACGCACGCAAGCACCCATACACACACACACACACACACACACGCACGCGCACCCACACACACACACACACACACACACACACACGCACGCACGCACGCACGCACGCACGCACGCACGCACGCACGCACGCACGCACGCACGCACGCACGCACGCACGCACGCACGCACGCACGCACGCACGCACGCACGCACGCACGCACGCACGCACACACACGCACGCACGCACGCACGCACGCACGCACGCACGCACGCACGCACGCACGCACGCACGCACGCACGCACGCACGCACGCACGCACGCACGCACGCACGCACGCACGCACGCACCCACACACACACACACACTTCCAGGTCCACTTCCCATCGTCGATCCAACGCAAGCGAAGGGACATCCATTCCAAAAATGCCCCGCAGACATCCGAAAAGGGATCAGCATAGAAATCCCTCGTGCACACAGGAGTCCACAACCACTGAAGCCCTCTCCCCTCGTTGTATGATGGGCTTTCAGGGCTTGAATGGTGCCTCACAAGGAGAAACATAAACCAACCAACAATTGGGCAAACACAAAAAGGCACCTCAGAGAACAAAAAAAAACAAAAACAGCAAAGAAAGAGAGAAAGGACTACGGCCTTGACTCCTTCCCCTCGCAGAAAGCAGGCCAGCCCCAAACCAAAGACGAAACAGCACGGCCTCAGTCGGGCTGAGGCTCACTGTCAGGCCGAGGACGGCGTGGGTGTGCTGAAAATTGGACGGCAACGTGAGCGCGGCGAAGCCCAAGAGTGCCTTCCTGAGACAGCATGGAAAAGACGTATCGCGCAAGCGATCGGCGCGAGAGATGGGAATGAGAAAGGGAACGACCCCGAAAAAAAAATGCGTTCAACCGGTGGTGTCCTTGCCAGGTTCATTCCCTCATTCCATACTGAGCATGAAGAAATTCTTGAGACATGGCTGGTTTAGCATGGCAAACAAATGGGGGCCAAGCCAGTGGCTTCTTGTGGGCCAACCCTGGGGGCCAACAAGCTATGGTTGGCTTCACACAAAATGGATGGATGGACGGATGGATGGACGGAGGGATGGCTGGATGGATGGACAGATTCATGCTGAGCTAACTGTTGTTTTACCACTCGGGCCGGTAGATCAGTAGGGTTTAGATCAGTAGGGTTTCCGAGCCCCTGATTGTTGTTTTTTTATTAAAACAAAAAAGCAGGTTGTCTGCAAAAGGTGGCATTTTGATTGCGACAAATGCCAGACCTTACTTTGACCCCTGCCACCACAGTCCCCCCCCCCCCCACATTTGTCTGAAAACCACAAGATGCTTCAACGTCCAAACTACAATGGATCCAGAAAAGACCCCAAGGCTTGCCGATGCATGCCGTGCTGAAACACCAAAAACAAACAAGGATCCAGGACACCATGCTTTGCGAATGCGTCTCGTGATCGGAAAAAGACTTCTGGGCATGTGGCATGTGGGACGCAACTGGCCGTTTGCAGCAGGCCAGTACGTACTGGACACATATTCTTCACAGCCGATGGTGAATGAGCACCCGCGGCCCCCAAACAACAACCCGAAACGAGCACAAACAAACACCAAGATCGGCCTCCCCAGTGATCCAAGTCGCACGATGGCCGTGCAGGCCAGGAAGGAAGACAGTGCCCCATCTCCGGGCTCAGGTGGGGGTCCGGCCATTCTGACTTTCGTGCCCGAAACCGAAACGGCGTCTGACTTGGACCCAATCTGAAAAGGGCACCCTCAACAAAGCACACCCAATGGGATATATGTAACCGGTGCCATCGGAACTTCTTGGTTAGAACCTGGTCAACCAGTCGCTTGAAGCGGAGCATCTGAGCTGTGGTCCAAAGGCTGTGAGGTTCAGTCAAAATCATTGAGGGGTAAAGACATCTTGAGATTTGTTGCCTACCTGAATAACCTGAATAGAAGGGCCCGTGTTCATTCCTCATACGTCTTCGTCATGGATTTCATTTCGGGCCTCAAATCGGCTTCAGTATACAGCCAGCCGGCCGCCCGGCTCAGCGGATTGGCGCAGGTGCTTTTTCACCCGCTGCACTTGAGCCAGGCAGCTGCAACGTTGTAAAATAGAAGTCAGTGGTCTCCCATTTGGGCAACTTGAAGTAGGGACCCTTTGGTGGACATCATTTAGGTTGGGATTCTGTTAACCACCAGCCACTGTTGAGTTCCTGAAATCTTAAACATCATCGCAACAAAGGTTCCAGTTTTAGCCCAGTGGCAAGTTTCGGCCACCTTTGAAATCCATCCTAAGTTGGCTTCGCCAAGATCTGGATGTACCTCGGGTCTGTGGCCATGTGCCCAAGCCCCACATGGAAAGCAGACGCTGCGAGGCCTGGAGGAGCCATAGCATGGGCCGCGCGAAAGCGATTGCTGGGGAAGTGGCTGGCTGACTCAAAGGCTTTGTCCTCGTTTCCTTTTGCCGGCCACGTGCTCCTTTCAAAGCGCTGAAGCGGGTCCAACTTGTCCAACCTCTGTTGACATATTCTACTCGCTGGCTTTGAGGCTTTGACTCGAACTTCAACGGCTTGTGCAACGTGATGTCGACAACCTTCTTGGCGGTGAGAATATGGTACCCTTGAAAGTGCGGTTTGACCAAAGGAAGGAATGAACCGCCGATGCACTGGCGAGCCAAATACTGCGAAGACAAGGCTCACATGAGCAGCACCCAGCACCCAGTGACTGCTGATTCTACCCAAATGACCATCATGGCTTCCATATGGCTATCAGTTTTTCCATATTTGGGACCCTTTGGTGGACATCAAACTTGCCCGGTGACTTTTACGTCGGATTCGGGCTGCTTTCGAGGCTCTGGGGACACTTTTGCAAAATACGGCCTCTCCAAGGGCCCCAGCCCAAGTCTTCCTTTTCTGGCTCACAGAGGGCTGGTGTTCATTTGCACTTCTGAAGCAATCATCCGTTGCGGATGCATCGGTATGCCATCGAAAGCGAAAATTGATTGGCACCGGGGCTGCACAAATCAAGGCTCTCTAACGGAAGAAGTCCCCCAAATCTGCCCCCGAAATCCTGAATAGACAGGATGAACCCGGCCTTCTGAACATACCCACGGATTTGGGGGCCCAATGCCCCCCTTTGGAATCGGTGGCATACCGGTCTCTGCGCCACGTAAGACTGACCGACTGCTAGCCTCGCCCAAAGTTCGCGCAGCAACAATCCAATCATCTAGCAACCGCACAGCCACACAACCTAACACTCCAACCACACCACATCCAAACAATCAAGCACGGGCTCGGCATGGCGCAAGGGCTCCCAGACTGAACCATCTCAGCCCCGGAAGGAAAACCAAAGTGCACGAAAGCTTAGGTTAAAACCACTTGGTCCAAGGGAAATGCGCTTGGCCCGGGAAGGGAACTGCGGGTCGCGCTTGATCGCTTGATGTTTTGGTAGATGATCCGATGTCAAACAATCAGCCCGCCCAAAGGAAACTCACTGACAATGGCTGGAAAATATATTGACCCACTTACTATACCAAAATACATGATCCCCATGCCAGTCGAACAAACATGACCCATTTATACCAGAAGGCATGATCCCAAGCACAATGAGACATCTCTCCTTCCATCAGGCGCTCGCTCAGATTCGGGAGCTCTGAGCGAAGATGGGAAACCTGCCGGAGGAACCGCCTGGTGGGTCTCTGTGGGTACGGCTCGTCGGTTTTTGCCCTCTTGTTTGCGAAACCAAACGAAAAACCGTCATTTTCAGCGGTCCAACCTCCAAAAAGACGAGCCATGTGTCACAATAGAGGGCCCCTTTTCAGCTGGCGGCCTGTTTGATTCCCTAAGCAACCCCCCCGAAAAAGGTACCATGGACCGGTGCCATTTCGAGGGTTGGATTGGGAAGCCGCAAGGAAGCAGGGAATCGGAAGCCGTGCGTACTTCTTTCCCTCTTTTTTTTTGGGGGGGGGGCCGATTTACTTGGGAAAGGTGAAGTTGCAACCCAAAGGAAACGATCACCTAAGCCTGAGGATCTTAGGTACCAGAACCCCACTTGGTTTTGGGAAGAGTTGAAATCCAATCCAAGTCACCAAAGGGATACCTCAGAGAAAGATGGGGGGCGACCCGGTTCAGAGCCTTCGGGATTATCGTCGAGTCACATGGATTGATCAATGAGAATCCTGCTCGGTTTTCGCCCTTCAAGGAATAGCTCGGGGGAAAAAAAAACTGATCAAAATGGTCGAGGAAATCGTGTCAGTTACTTGTCCCGCCCATTGCAATCTTGGTTGCGCACGCGCACACACACACAAACACAAAATGCTTGATCTTGCATGCGTTACAAATTGGCTTGCTAAAAGTTGGCAGGTGGACTCTTATGCAAATCATCCGCATGCTGACTGCCACTCGCCACGGTCACATGGATTCTGCCGGGTTCTTCTCGGTTTCCCTTCAAAGAAAGCCCAATGAGTCCCTCAAAGCAAGGCGTTTCAAGACTTAGAGACTGCAAGTCTAAGGCTTGGCCAAAACGCCGTACCCACGCGTAGGGCTGAAACATGGCCTAGGTCCTCCAGTAGAGAGGTTAGAACAAGGGTACCCTTTTTTCTGTAGTCTATTTTAGTAGGGGAACCCTCGCTTTCAATCAATACGTATTTTTGACATTTCTCAAAGTTGGACTATAAAGACCCGTCAAATCGGTTTTCAGAACGGGCACTTTGTGGTTGGGCCGTTGAAAGGGATGTACCGGCTTTCTAAAATCAAGCACCCATCTTCGGAATCCAAAGCGAATAGAACAAGTTTGCCTGCTCCAAGCTTCGCCCACTTGCTGTTCAAGGCGTTTCCCAAGTATGACTCCGACCTCACGCGTTTCTGCCATTTGAACCAACTCCCTATGACAGCCACGTTCGCAGCTTTCTGAACCAATCCCGAACAGAAGGCCGCCTCAAATCCTCTTCTTGCCATGTTTGTGAGAATCAAATGACCATCCTCGCCAAGCCCCTTTGAGGTGTCAAAATTTGACCCTGGCCCATGTGTTGTGCTTCGGCTTCAAACGGGCGCACCTCTGCGACGGCACTGGGCTGGCGAGTTGGGGCGGCGCTGGTACGGACCAGGATCCTGACGCCAGCGAGGCGCACAGAGACCCATCGAGGCCCTTCTGAAGGAAAGATGTTGGGGTTGATCAATAGTTCCTTCTTCCTAATAAAACTCCCCCAAGCCGCGGCAAAAAATCGGCAATACTAAATTTAAATTGGCCAATACTAAACCAATACTAAACTCCTGAGACTACACATGCTTTCCACCAAGCTCCCAAAACATGCTTATTAGGGGTCCCCCTCCAGTGTGTGTTGAAACAAGAAGGCTCCACGTTGTCTGACCATGGGACACTCCCTTTCGAAGTTCTTACTTAAAAGTTGCAATCTGAGCAGTTTTTGCTCCAAATCAAAGGAGATCCACTTTCCAACACAAGTCCAATACTAAACAGCAAATTATCAACTGGATCTAGGCCCAAACCGGCGACCCCTAATAATACAACTCCCCCTCAGTTTGTTTCTTCCTTTTTTTTGGCGGGGGGGGGGGACGGCTTTTTGTTAAAGGAGAAGCGATCACTCTGTTCAAGGCCCACAGTTTTGACCATGGGGAACTTTTCCCATGTGGTTGAAATATTGTTTTTTTTAGTGGATTGCCAAACAATAGACATCACATGTACAGGACCTTTTGATCAACCCCCATGTGGTGTCACGTTGCTAACAGGGAACATGCAAGGAACGCCACAAGCTTTCAGGATAACCCTTTCTTTAGGCAAACCCAAGGAGTGTCAGTGGAATCACGCACTTCAAGGCGACGTTCATTCTTCTGTAAAAAAACAAAACGATGCAGTTGCGCTTGCAAAAACCGAAGCCTACTTTTGCACACATCCACATTCCAGCTGACTGACCTCGTGTTGGGTTCTAAAACTGCTTGGGACAATCCTTGGGGATCAGGGGTGTTTTGGGCCAACCATGGTTTATATAACCTTGTTCAAGGCAATCCTTTTTCGCTTTCCAAGAAAAAGGGGGCCATGGTCCGCTTAAATCCAATGCAACCAACCCTTTCCATCCCTTGCGCTGTTTGGATATCTTCACATCTTCCATGGTCAAGACACCTCCTCTGGCTTTCCAAGAAAAGGGGGGCATGATCCGTTTGCCCAAACAACAACCTTCCTGTTCCCAGCCCCCTCGAACCCATGTGGGGGGGCGCGGTTGATAGGTATGGTGAACCCCGTGCCCCGAGAAAACCTTGGGGTTTTGCAGCCGTCCTGGCAGGACTTGTGGTCTCGACAGCGCGGGCCCCTGCAGAAACGCCTCGGAAACCGCCAGGAAACCACGAAGCCAAGCCTTAGATGGGATCCTATGGGCATGTCTGTTTAAAGGGCAGCTTCTTTGGGGTAAGGCAAAACAAAAAGGAAAGCCCCCATTTCAAGACATATGTCGAACCGGCAAAAAAAGTAAAAGCTGGGACACTGGTCCTGCATGGACATCTCTTCAACGTTGTCAACCAAAAGGATGCCCGATGCTCCTGTGTTGGCCCCATGAGTATACCAGTTTTCTCAGGAGTGTGCCAGTTTCATCAAGGGGTGCACAGGCAGACGTTGACCTAAAACTGGCGAAAACACAACAAGAAACATCCATGTGGTTTGGACGGTTTCGGGGCCGGTAGCCCGCGACAGAAGTGGCTCCGAAATGTGGGGAGCCGAGGAATTAGTGAAGCAACCAACCAACAAACCAGCCAACCAGCCAACCAAACAAGCACACAAGCAACCAAGCAAAGCAACCAAGCAACCAAGCAACCAAGCAACCAAGCAACCAAGCAACCAAGCAAAGCAACCAAGCAACCAAGCAACCAAGCAACCAAGCAACCAAGCAACCAAGCAACCAAGCAAAGCAACCAAGCAAAGCAACCAAGCAAAGCAACCAAGCAACCAAGCAAAGCAACCAAGCAAAGCAACCAAGCAAAGCAACCAAGCAAAGCAACCAAGCAAAGCAACCAAGCAAAGCAAACCAAGCATCCAAGCAAAGCAACCAAGCAAAGCAACCAAGCAAAGCAACCAAGCAAAGCAACCAAGCAACCAAGCAAAGCAACCAAGCAAAGCAACCAAGCAAAGCAACCAAGCAAAGCAACCAAGCAAGCAACCAAGCAAAGCAACCAAGCAACCAAGCAAAGCAACCAAGCAAAGCAACCAAGCAAAGCAACCAAGCAAAGCAACCAAGCAACCAAGCAAAGCAACCAAGCAAAGCAACCAAGCAAAGCAACCAAGCAAAGCAAACCAAGCATCCAAGCAAAGCAACCAAGCAAAGCAAACCAAGCATCCAAGCAAAGCAACCAAGCAAAGCAACCAAGCAACCAAGCAAAGCAACCAAGCAACCAAGCAACCAAGCAACCAAGCAAAGCAACCAAGCAAAGCAACCAAGCAAAGCAACCAAGCAAGCAAGCAAGCAAGCAAGCAAGCAAGCAAGCAAGCAAGCAACCAACCAACCAACCAACCAACGGAACGAATGAACGAACTCCAAGCAACACACTACACACCACAGCCACCACTCCCCCCCCCAAACTACGACTCGCTACAAATCGTGCATGGTACTGGGCGCTCCGCAGGCGCATGCCCATACAGAAGCCCTGGGAGACCTGACGCTGTCGTTCTCTTGGGAAATCCAGGGGCCTGAGTCCAAAAGAAACCGACCCGTTTCAACCTGGACATTCTTCAAATGCAGGGCCCAGAGCAAGAGATGTTACGGCTGCAGTCTTCGAATATCCGTGTATTTTGCTGTGATGCGCCTTCCCATAAAGCTTCGGGCCGTGTCAAACGGTCGCATCTCTCTTCGCATGTGCAGACAGTCGCTTTTTGAGGCCATGCAGCGGGAGCGTATGCTCAAGCAGGGCCTGCTCATTAACAAGCCACAGGCGAGTTGGGGTTGATCCCGGTCACCGAAGTTACCAAGTTACGGCACCGTGGCTTTCCACCGTTTTTGGTGGGACACTGGGAATCGCCTGGGATCAACCATTGCCAGTGGTCACCCCCCCACTCGGCAAATCCCATTAACCCCAGAGGTTTCTCCTCGTCGCAAGGGCCGCAGGAGGCCCTGGAAGTGTTGCTGGCATCGGCATCCGTCAGCTCTTGAATTGATCCCCCACTCGTGTACCCATAGGTGAAATACAAAATTCTAAAATGTGAAAAACCAAATCCTGCCGCCCACGTGTCCAACAGCTGTTTCATTGATCCCACTCTCTTACCCATAGATGAAATGCTCACAAACACCCGACGGCTCCAACCGTCTCATCCCGTCCATGCGATGGGGCTCGGCCACTCAGCCAGCGAAGGTGTCGATTGCCGCAGGTCCTCAAACCCAAACGCGCTGCTCACCCGCTCGCGTGCTATCTTTTGCAGATTGACGGAAGCCGACACAAGATCCTGGATTCTATCCCTGAAACTTCGATGAATTTGCAGAGTGGGCTTACATGCAGAAAATCTGGAGCAGGGCTGAGTTGAGACGTTGAGAGTGTGATAGCGACTCGTGAGACAGAAATGGCTCCTCCTCGCGTGGCGAGAGAGCCTGTTGCTTGCACCTTGGAGGCAAAGGGAGCTGGGGAACTCGGGAACAAGGAAACAATAGGCAAAGAAAGAACGAAAGAAGGAAGGAAGGAAGGAAGATAGATATAATAGAAAGCAAAAGAAATAGAGAATCAAATGAATTGTCAAAAAAGAAATATAAAAAGAACGACGAACAAACGAACAAACAAACAAGCAAGCAAGCAAGCAAGCAAGCAAACAAACAAACAAACAAACAAAGCAACCAAGACAGTGAACAAACAAACCTTGGCTGTGTGAAAAGTAACTCTTTTCGGTGATGCCAAAGTAGGCCACTCCTTTGTTTACCTTGTTCCTTTGCATCATCCAACATGCTTGCCACACCTCATCTCCCGCAATGCAAGGAATCGAGCAGAGCCATGGCCAATCTAACAAGGGAGCAAACCTTCCGAAAGATATGGAAGCTGAGAGCAGCGGCTGGTATCCAGGCGTTAGTCCAAGCTAAGCCTTGCGATTCGCCAAGCACACATGAAATACCAACGAAACGCTCAGCACCATCCCCAGGTTCAGTGACTACTACTCACTTTCAGGTCTACCACCAGATTCTCCTTGGTTTTTCGCACAGCTGATTTGAAGTTGACTCCCTTTGCCAATATCCGCAACGCTCACGGGTCGAGGGTTGTCACATTGGCTCGGAAGCATCCGATTTGACTCCAGGGCGCCAGTTGTACGCGGGCCACACCGACCTGGCGCTTTCCAGGGTGCCAGTTCTCAGCTTTTGGGGGAACCGTTCAACGCCAAAGCGACGAAGAGCAGCTTATGAAGCCCCGGACCCCGGGCACTCGGCCCCAAAGAACACAGCAGCAGCCCCCACAGATGCTGTGAGTCCCCTATCTGGGGAACACCCAAATATACCCAAATGCAGACCTACAGCAAACAAGAGGAGCCGCAGCACGGCAGTGACTTGGTTTGTACGTAGTGGGCAAGCAGCCCAAAGTTGGGAATCTGGCAAAATGAGTTGAATCAATGCTGGTTTCGCTCCCGGTTTTGATCCCGGCCCCAGAAATGATCAAAGCCTGATGAGTTGGGCCTGGTGCTCTTGGATTAGTTGGGGAACAAGCTCCCTTTCTTGGGCGCCAGGATTGATTTGGGCAATGTACATCACATCGGCCATGTAACTTCTGGATATGTTGGGGCGAAGCATGGCACCACCACCCCCTCCCCACCCCTCCACGCCTGGCGTAGGCCTGGGCGCGCCACCGCAGCGCCGCCTCCTCGGCGCGGCGGGCGCGGACCTGGGCGCCCAGGAGCCACCGCTGCTCCGCCGCCTGCGGATTTCGAGAAGATCCGGGGGCTGGCCATGGGGTTGCTTTTCCCATGGGCTTGGTGAAAGTCGAATCTGTTTTTGGGTTGACCATGGGGTTGACCGGGGGGTTGACCATGGCTTTGACCCTGATATTGACCATGGTGTGTGTGTGTGTGTGTGATGGGTTGATGTGTTCCATGCATGGCGTTGACCGTGAGCTCGGGCTTTAAGCCTGGCCATGGTCAGCACAACCGGCGCAGGCTCCCCCTGAAGGAACTCCTAGCTTCCTGAGAAGCTGCCACAGAAAATGGGGTTGACCATGGGGTTTATCCTGGGGTTGGGCATGGGGCTGGCCATGGGGTGACTACGGGGTTGACCATGGATTTGACCATGGATTTGACCATGGGGTTGACCCTGGTCTGTTCAAGTGTCATCCAACTGGTTTTCAGACCTCCAGCTACCGTCACATGGTGCCAAAGAAAGGCCAGCGCGCGCTGAGCCAGAGATGGACAGATCCCTGGCGCGGCGGATCAGGCTGAGGCAAGCGACCTCCCGGGAGGAGGAGGTGAGGTCTTCTGGAAGTGCATGGTTTTGCGGTAACAATGTGGCGCTGCATTATCTTGCAGTTTTTGCCCGCGATGCCTGGCTCGGCCAGAAGCTGGAGGCCTGGTGCAAGGAGGATGACTGGGAGGAGCCCCTGGTCTTCAACTCACCTTGGCATCAGGCAAGAGTGAAATTGGTCCAGAAGGTGCGAAGTCGCCTCTGGACGCGTTTTGCTTGACCCTCGTGCTTTTGGTCTTTTCTCCAAAGTGTGGAGAGAAGCCATGCTGACTTCCAAGACGTGCAGGCGCAGGCCAACGACCAGCGCATGGATGGGAACCCTTTCCACATGCGCTACACTCCACACAGGCTGGCTGTGCAGCGGGGTGGGCATAGCTTGGACGAGGAGCCGGAGGGCGCCCTCCCCAGGCCAGCCCTCTCCCCACACACACGGACATGGCCCGCTTACTGCAGGTCCAGCAGTGGAAGAAAAAAGGTGCTCCGCAGTTGAGCGCAGCAAAGACATGTGGGCAGCTTTGCAGAAGCTGCCGGGTGTACAGGCTCCGGGTATAATGTGAAGACCTTCTGCTGACGCGCTGCGAGAATCTGGGGCGAGTTTTTGGCACAAGTAGCTCAGGTCCGAAGAACTGCTACAACCTACAGATTGCGCCTGCGCAAGCAACAGGTTTTGCAAGCCTGCTAACTTGGCAAGGGAGCAGTAGCGGCACGCTGGTCTGGTTACTATGTTGGGGCAGTCTGGAGCGACTAAGCACGAGCAGAGAGGATGGGAAGAAGACTAGGAAGGCATGAATCACAAGCGTTGCTATAGCGTGCTAAAGCAGCAGCGGGGCAACACGAGGCTCGAATCGAAAATAAAGAGAGCTCTCCTCAGCGCGTGCGCACGCATGCGACTTGATAAGAGCACCCTTGCTGTTTGCGCTCGTCTGTTTTACAACAGTCACACTTGCCCCGCGTGTTAAACTGCCCGATGTCTGCACCAATGCTGGGCCGAACTTGCAAATCACTAACTAAAAGCTGGTGGCCAAGCCTCAAGGTACATTTATACACCGTTACGAAACTGCACTGCTGAAGCCTCTCACGCCTCTTTTGGCCACACCGCGTTCCCAGGCGCTCAACTGAATGTAGCAGCGAGCTGCACTACTTCTGTGCCACGCAAAGCACACACACCTCCCATGTCAAGCTGACGGAGCTCTCCTTCTTTTCGAACCTCCTGCTACCTTAACGCTGGCCGGCATGCCTTCCTCGTCTTCTTCCCGTCGCCGCTTCTGCTCCCAGGCGCGCCAAGACTCCGCGTCTTTTGGCGGCTTAATCTGGAGCCGGACCTTCCAGACCGTCTTGTCCAAGGCGCACCGGAAGCCAGAAATGTAGATTGCCGGCGGCGGCTTCTTCTCCTCTTTCGTCATGTGCCTCGTGTGCCATCGAGCCAACTTCCCTGTCGGAATTGCGGTTCGAGTTCGGGGCGATTTCCCATTCACACACTACATGTGGTCAGCCGTCAATCCAAACTAGGGTTGCCTGAAAGGGCCCAACCTGCCCTCAACGCAGAAGCGCGACAGCCTTCCAAACAAAAAAGCAAGTTTGACGTGTGCCGAGTCGCTTCCAGACTTCCCCAAAGTAGTTGCCAGACCAGAAGTGCGCCGCCACTGCGCAATCCCTGGCCAAGCAGGCTTGCAAAACCTCTTGTGCCATGGGATGCTTTCGCAGGCGCCCCATCTGTAGGTTGTAGCAGTTCTTCGGGCCTGAGCCACCTGTGCAAAAAACTTGCCCCAGCTTCTCGCAGCACGTGACAGTGTCGCGCAGCAGAAGGGCCAAGTTCTTCACATTATACCCGGAGCCCTGCATGCCCGGCAGCTTTTGCAGGGCTGTCCACATGCTGGCCTCGTCTTTGCTGCGCTCCAGCTGCTGGAACACCTTTTTTGCAAGGCTAAGTTGAGGCAAGTCTTTCTTGCACTGCTGGACCTGCAGTAAGCGGGCCATGTCCGCGTGGGGAGCTGGCTGGCCTGGGGAGGGCGCATACTGATCCTCCGGCTCCTCCTCCGAGCTATGCCCATCCCCGTCCCACAGCCCACTGCCTCCAGATGTCACAACCTTGGCCCACTGGTTGGCCCGCAGCCTGTGTGGATTGTAGCGCCCGTGGAAAGGGTTCCCAGAACATCCGGTCAGCGCACTGTCGTAAATCCAACCCAGGTTGCGCTGGTCGTTGGCCTGCGCCTGCACGTCTTGGAAGTCAGC